ATTTTTAAATAAGTATTTGTAGTAGCTCAGTAATAATTATGTATGGATGACACAATTTTTAAAAGGTTCTATTATTTTCTTTGTTTCCAGTTTTTCCTTCATGTAAATAATAGTTGTCAACATCTTTATAAATCAAACTTTGATCATATCTCTGGGATTTCATTAGTGCAAATGCTTGTGGAATTACTAGGTTGAGAGGTATGATCATTTTAAAAGTTGTGGATCTGTATTTCTCCTGGCTGCTAGAAAGGTGTGAATTTGTACATCTCTTGGTAGTGTTTGAGAATGCCTGTTTGATTACATTTTTACCAAACCATTTTTTGCTAATTAATAGACTTGATTTTTTAGAGTAGTTTTAAGTTTACAGAAAAAGTGAACTGAAAATTTGGGCAGAAAATTTTGACAGATATTAATACATAATGACATGTATCTACCATTACAACATCATATCAATTAGTTTCACTGCCCTAAGCATCTCCTGTGTTCCATTAATTCGTCCCTTCCTCCCTTTCTCAAATCGTGGCAACCACTGATCTTTCTATTGATTTCATAATTTTGCCTTTTTCAGGGTATCATACAGTTGAAATAGTATGTAGCCTTTTCAGATTGGCTTCTTTGCTTAGTACTATGCATTTAAGTTTCCTCCATGTTTTTTTGTGGCATGATTGATCATTTCTTTTTATGGCTGGATAATATTCCACTGTATGGTTGTATCAAAGTTAGTTTGTCCTTCATCCATTGAAGAATATCTTGATTACTTACACATTTTGACAATTAAGAATAAAGCTACCATAAAATTTATATGCACTTGTTCTTGTAGACATAAGTGTTCAGCTCATTTGGGTAAATACCAAAGAGCGTACCGCTGGATCACATGATAAGAGTATGTTTAGTTTTGTAAGAAACTGCCAAACTGTCTTTCAAGGTGACTATACCGTTTTGTGTTCCTACCAGCAATGAATGAGAATTAAATTTTTTTTTAACTTTTTCTAATACCTTTTAGAAGAGGTATTGCAAAAGATGATATAGTATTTGTAAAATTACCCACATTACTATGCTCATTGTATTCTACATTTGTTTCAGGTTTAATGCATTCAAAAGGACTAATATCATACTGCAACATTTGGTAAGTTTCCACTTTGTTTTGCTGGCATTATTAGATTATATGTGTAATTTAAAATGTCATTGTTAGGGAAGTAGAGAAATACTGGGATGGCAAGTTTCTTGGACCTTAGTACAGCATGGTTCTGAACTTTACAGCTTCAAGACTTGACACACGTATCTTGTAGGGGGTGGCATAATGTTATACTGAAGAGTGTGGATCTTAAAAGAATGTCCAGGCTTGAAGAATGGGTTCATTACTTAATCTTGGAGCAGATTACTTGGTCTCTTGAAGCTTCCCTTTTGATGTATATATATAAAATGAGGATAATAATAGTATCTACCTTAGAGTGCTTATAAAAGATAAGTAAGATAATGCATTAAATAATCTAGCATAGTACATGACATGTAATAATCATTTTATACATGGTAGCTGTTATTGTACTGATGGTACCTGAAAAGTTTAAGTGTCCTTAGTTTATCAGATTGTGAGGAAGAAATGATTTTTATTCACTTTCATATCCCTTATAGAGCCCGACAAGTACCTTGCGCATAAAAATAACAAGTCATCTAATACAGTACTTCCTGTATTACTAAGTACTTGACGTATATTAGCTCAATTAATTCTCATTGCTTTATGGGGAAGATATGACAGATTTCTTATTGTCTTTATAGACTTTATTTAGGACTGTTGCAATAGCTGTAGGGACCACTGCAGGGGGGTTTGCAGTAGGGTAGAGAGATTGAACTTTGAATATAACAAGGAAAAATGGGAATTTGTAGCATGGAAGGGGGGAATGTGTGGAAGTGTTAGAGAACTGAAGATTACTAAGAGGTTTACGTTAGGGGTAAGGGAGGATTCTGCCTAAACCAACCTAATAGGATTCTTACTAAAGGCAGGCCTGAGTGATCAGACATTACCTGGAACATGGTAGAGAATGAAGAACTTAAACACATATTGAGAGTGATGAGATAACAAGGGTGAGAGATTCTGGTTAAACTGAGCAGGATTCTTTGTAAAAATTGCACAATGCAGAGATAAACAAACACTAAGGCACAATTCAAG